GATATCAAATAATTTGTTTCTTTCATACTTATTTCCGAGCCAAAATTAACTTGCTTTCCAGAACAGCAGTAAAAGTCTAGACAACTTAAGCCCGTTTTCCACTTCACCATGCATTTCGCTCCCCGCCCATTGCCTGACTATGTTAAAAAAATTCCAGTTCACCTTTTATACAATAGTACTCTGATTTTCCATTTAACATACGAGCCTCTAGTCCTGGGATAGGGTACATTTTGATTTACGTTGGACAAAGCTGTAGTTCTGTCGGACACAAATACACTCAGGTCGAACAAACAATAAGCCTCAATTTTTCCAGACAAGATGTCTAAAGAAATATTTCCAAATTTATAAACAAACTGTTAGGAAGTTTGCTTAATCTAACGTTAACTTATCGGCTTTCGAACAATCAACCCCTGTATGGTGATTTTGTTTGTCAATGGGGAGTGTGTTGGACTTAAAAGGTTTTAACCTTTCATTGAAACTAGATTGTCTGCCCGCATTTTGTGTTAACACATTATTAAGATAAAAGCCAGGCTACTTTCAGTACTTCATGATTTTACTCTGTCTAACATCAGAGGGTCACATTTCATATTAACCCTTTTAGCTGCAAAGTACATTTTAGTCATCCAATGGGGGAGGGAGTCCAAGAGTAGAATATTCTGAGACTGATAATAGTAAGATGTACTAATTAGACATCAATGGAATGGGGTAGAGGGTTTAAATTCCAAGTTTCTTTGTATGTCATGCTTGAAGTTTTGTCAATTTGATGTTTTAATTTGTGTGGCAACTTGAATATGGAAAACTCCCTAATTGGAAAAAGTCCTTTGTTTGTTTGTTTGTTTGTTTGTTTGTTTGTTTGTTTGTTTGTTTGTTTGTTTGTTTGTTTGTTTGTTTGTTTGTTTGTTTGTTTGTTTGTTTTGTTTGTTTGGTTTTGTTTGTTTGTTTGTTTGTTTGTTTTGTTTGTTTGTTTGTTTTGTTTGTTTGTTTGTTTGTTTGTTTGTTTGTTTGTTTGTTTGTTTGTTTGTTTGTTTGTTTGTTTGTTTGTTTGTTTGTTGGTTTGTTTGTTTGGTTTGTTTGTTTGTTTGTTTGTTTGTTTGTTTGTTTGTTTGTTTGTTTGTTTGTTTGTTTGTTTGTTTGTTTGTTTGTTTGCTTGTTTGTTTGTTTGTTTGTTTGTTTGTTTGTTTGTTTGTTTGTTTGTTTGTTTGTTTGTTTGTTTGTTTGCCTTGTTTGTTTGTTTGTTTGTTTGTTTGTTTGTTTGTTTGTTTGTTTGTTTGTTTGTTTGTTTGTTTGTTTGTTTGTTTGTTTGTTTGTTTGTTTGTTCAAACTCATGAATACATTTAGCTAGCTACACCACCCACATGATCTGCTTAGTAATATATGTAACAACACAATTCACTCCAATTAACCCAGTTTTCAGCACTTTCTTAAATTATGTAACCTCTCCTAATGGCGGACAAGTTAATTTGTGTGTAGCTAGATTTTGCCCATGTTTCATGTTGACATACTTGGATGAAATTTTCCCTAACACTCCCTACTTTAAATACTTTAATATTGAACTGTGACGTCTCATGCTAGACAATTTTACTTATCGACTGTGGACTGCTTGCCCTCATTTCACCTATTAACACCGACGGAAGAAACAATTTCCTCTTAAGGTGGCTCCCTAGGGTTTTATTTCCGGGGGTTACTCTTCGTATATATGTAAACTAAAACTTGTGTGACTTCGAACGGACGTTGTGTTTTTATATGGAACTCTTTTGAAACAAAAGTGTGAACTTTGCTTTAGTTGAAAGCATAAAAATAGTTCTAAAAGACAAAACGATACTTGGATGTGATGTTTCGGGAGAAGATAATGTAAACTTGTTTTTTTTCAAGCGGTATTCTGGAAGTTTTTTGAACCGCCGTACGCCAGGTTCGATCGCGAACATTGGGATATGATATAAATTTTTCTCAAGAATTTGCAGTGTTTTCTCCACAATCTAGCAGCACTTATGACAATAAAGATGACTTAAATAATGAGCCCTCTACTGGTGAGATGAGTAGGGCCGAAACTCCAAACATACCACCATAAAAATTGAAATTTGAACGGGCATTTTGCGAAAACATCCGACGTATATACTAACTCGCACGGGACGAATTTTGACAAACATTTTTCAAATTAATATCAAGAAATCATAATTAATAATTACCTAAATATCTTTGTCAATTTTACATGTATAATCCACGCTTAGTTGACCAATAACCGACACAGTTATAAACAGTATATCAAACATAATTCATATTTTGTGATTTCAAAAAAGTCTTGCCTTGTTCTGCAGAATGCCTGTACACGTCAGTTGGGGTATTAAATTGTTCGCGTAAAAATCTAGTAAAATTGCGAAAATTAATCCCAAATTTCTCCGTTTTCCTTCGGTAAAATTTTTTAAAACTTTGCACATTTTTTAGTACCGGCACAGCAAGTGCAATATCCTTTTTTAAAAAAATTAAATCGAAGGGAAAATTTTTAATATTGATTTTTGACGTTTTTTAAATTTTCTAAGAAACGTATCGATTTAATTTTTTTAAATTGAGGGGAAAAAATCATAATACAAGTATGACCTTTTATGCAAAGTTTTAAAAAATTTCACCGAAGGGAATTTTTAAAATGACCTGAAAAAGACAAATTTTGGGCTTTATTCTAAGCATGTTGTTGCCATGACAACAGAATTTTAACACAAAAGTTGCAATTTTTAATGTTCAGGAGAACATTGTCAATGTGTCCAATAAATTTCGTTTTCATATCATGTAAAGTGAAGAAACAGGAGTCTCCTGAATACTATAGTGTAGTAAATTAAAAAACCCTAGGGAGCCACCTTAAATGTTGCCTACTTTCGGTTCTTTCTAGGGGTGTGCAGGACAGAGTATTTCTGCTATCCAGCCAGATACAGGATATGCTGGATAGCTGAAAAATATCCTGCCCGATTCAGGGTATAATTCAAATAATTATATAAGGTTCAGGCATCATTTAAGGTTAAGTACCGGTAATAATTTTATTTGGTTAAAAAGTAAACAGTCTAAAACTAGTAAACATGCATCATTGGTAGCAAAAGCCTCGTTTACATCAGTTAAAAGTTCAAATCCCCATTTACTGTACAAACAAGCATATAAAAAAATCTTGAAAATACTGATCATATTTATCATATTTTTACTTCAATGATCATGATATGATAACCGTATCAAATCATTTTCTAACCTGAAAAGAAGGCCTGAACCCTATATAAATAATATCAGGCATTGGGCAGCCGGATACCACATAATGAATTAAAATCTTAATATCCGGCCAGATACAGTATCAGTCCATTGCATGCTATGTCTTGAAATGCCAAATTATTAACTGACTGTATATTGATATTCAATATACTTATAAGCTAATATATGCACCCTTTTATTGTTAACCCTTTGAGTAGCAATGTGCCCAAGTGCACCCTACTTTGTTATGTTGCACTATCTAACACCAGACATTTTACTTTGTGAGATGCCAGACAATTTTACTCCCTAAGAGCAGTGTCCTGCTCACTAATGGTTATCCAAACTATCTGCCAATGTGCTTTGATAACCCATTAAGCCGAAATGCACCCAAATGGACCCGCCTTTGTTATTTTACTCTGTCAAACGCCAGACAATTTTAGTCATCAAGAAGAGAGTCCTGCGTGCTAGTGGGTTAAATGACTAAATTACATATGTTATATATACACTTAAGCTGTTAGATTGTCCCATTGTATATTAATTTTTTACTGATCTTGACACATGCTTGTATGTTGGATTGATACGACTACCTGTAAATATGGTTAAACTTGGCTATGTGATTCAAAGGTTGTGGTTCACCAAGCAATAAAGAAAATGATACGAAGATGGAACGATTGGATGCAAGTTATTTACAGTGTTTCATATGACAAGTATTCTGATTGTGGAAGATGTGGGGTTGCAATATTTTGACAATTGCATGGCTATAAAGTACGAGACAATTAATATAGTACTCCATTACTCTAATTGCCAGAACACTGCATCAGAATGAGAAGTTGTCTGTTACAGTTCTGTTTAGTAAAAGTACATAGTAAAAGTACATAGTCAGCTATGTAAAATGTAATTTAGTCAGTGTCAAATAAATATTTTGTCGGCTTTAACACACCTTTCTTAGAGTGTACGGAAAATATTATAATGGCGATAATTCAACAACCAGCATGTACTTTGCATTTTAGACCTGCCGTGTTTCACAGACTATAGCATAGACGAAATTACCGATGCGTGCATTAAGCATGCAATGGATGCCCGATTTTAATTCGACAGAAATGCTTCCACAGTATCAAACAAGTCATATACTGAGCCATAGGCTATAATTGAGACAATAGCACTCGCGGCGACAGGTTCGATAGACACAGATAATGTATCGTTCTATAGCTGTTGTGTATTTAATAGTTAGCGTTGCATGCTCAAACCGTGATCGCTAAATCCCCACAATATATATATATATATATATATATATATATATATATATATATATATATATATATATATATATATATATATATATATATATATATATATATAGTTATTCGTTTTACCTCAAAAAACCACAACAGTCTGTTTCATCCGTATAGGAATATATATATATATATATATATATATATATATATATATATATATATATATATATATATATATATATATATATATATATATATATATATAGCTTAAGATTTTGGTTTACGAAACACAAACAGTGCTCAATACCATATAGATAGAGCGTAATATAGTTTTTCGTTTTACCTCAAAAAAACCACAACAGTCCGTTTCATCCGTATAGACCACCTGATGATTCCTATACGGATGAAACGGACTGTTGTGGGTTTTTTGAGGTAAAACGAAAAACTATATATATATATATATATATATATATATATATATATATATATATATATATATATATATATATATATATATATATATATATATATATATATATATATATGTATATATATATATATATGTATATATATGTATATATATATGTATATATATGTATATATAAATTAAGGTACAACAAATCAACAAAATCCACTAGGCATCTTTATTACTAAATAGTTTCGTACCACAGTATGTGGCACTCTTCAGATAAATTGACCTAATGATTACAGACTAAAACTTACAAGGTTATATGTACAAGTGGATGAGACATGAAACTTAATCCTATTTACAAAGCACGCGATTTAATAAACATGTTATATGATAAGCTGACAGGACGCGGAAAGATTAACACACCGCGGTATATTTAAATGTCTGGCTTTTAAATGTTACTTAAAAGGAATTTTTTATTATGCCTACATGCTGATACTAACTCATTACGTTTGTTTAAAGTGGCCATTTTGGGCTTACAAATAATAAAGTATTTCTCCCATAAACACAAATTACATCTATTTGAAGCACAGTTATAAGGCTTAGCTCGTTTCAATAGTTTCCACTTGATTGTATAATGGATGTTTCGATTGTTCAATTCCCACACATATTTGCTAAGTTTAGTAGCGTAGTAGTAAAATATTCTTATACTATATGGTGGATTATACTATACCATATAATCTTACTTTTACGGTTTTGCATGGGTTTTGTTATTAGTCGTTATAGGTATAGGGTGTGTTTAAACTGTAGCTTGTGGTTGTATCTACTTTTGTCAAGGGCTTGTTGATATGGCGTGGAGGCTTGTTCGAGTGAATCTTGATCAGAGGATATCTCGGTTAGTCGATTGTTAATGGATAATAGAATATTACGCAGAACGCTAGGTGGGTGGTTAGACTTGCTATGCACATAAAAAGGTGTGTTGTTAGGCTTAGAGTATGGATGATATATACCAGTGGATAGATTCAGTGTGACGTCAAGGATACGGAACTGTAATAAAAAATGTCCAAATCTATCGAATTCATATTCAGTCGATGGTGGTAGATGATTTCGAGTTAGATATTGATTGTATCAATGGAGGGAAAGAGGTTCTTACCTACTTACCTAATCCCAAGGTGAAAGATCTGAAGAAGAGTTCCATGCCCCTTCAAAAACTACAACTGTGTGATGAGGAGACCACTGACAGACAAATACCTGTGCACATGATCTTGGGAGCAGCAGATTATTAACGGATAAGGTCAGCTGAGCAGCCCATCCTTGGAGAGAATCCGGATACAGATCCTGGAGCAGAGTTCACGATGCTTTGATGGGCTCTGTACGGCAAGATTGTCCCGATGGAGTTTTCCGAGAAAGGTCTCTTTCTAAACAGCCAGAGTAAATTCGAGAAGTTGTGTTCAGTGGACGTGCTGGGACTAGCGGAGAAGTTGGAGACAGCCACAGAATTTCACAAGGACTTTATCGAACACTTGGATCAGACGGAGAAGGGGTTTTATCAAACTAATCTGCAATGGAGACCAGACCATCCAACGCTATCGGTGAATAGAGAACTGGCTGTAGCGCGATTGAGGAGTACAACAAGAGACTAGAGAAACTTGGAAAACTGGAAAAAATACCACAGTGTGATGGAAGAACAGTTGCGTGAAGTGATTCTTGAATCAGTGCCTCCAAAACGAACAGGGGGGGTTGTACACTACATTACACATCAACCGATGATTCGAGAAGATGCGGAGTCAACCAAATTCAGAATCGTGTATGACTGTTCTGCAAAAGCTGATCCTCAATTACCATCCCTGAACGATTGCCTCGAGAAAGGACCGTCCTTACAGCCACTGTTGTTCGACATCCTCTTCAGAAATCGACTGAGAATTACTTGCATCACGGGTGACTTAAAGAAAGCCTTTCTACAAGTACGAGTCAACCAGGAACACCATGACGCACAGAAAATGTTGTGGTACAACAACGTGGAAGAGAGAAAATCGTCGAATACCGGTTTACAAGAGTGATTTTTGGAGCTGCACCAAGCCCTTATATCTTGGGGGCAATCTTACAAAAGCACGTGAAACAGTTTCAAGACGAATATCCAGAGTCAACAAAAGCCTTACTAGAACACCTACGTGGACGACGTACAAAGCGGAGGAGATTCGATCAGTGAACTTGAAACGTTTAAAAAACAAGCCACGACGATCATGGAGAAAGGTGGATTCACTCTACATAAGTGGCACAGAAACGTTGAGGAGTTGGAGTCCATTTCAAACGAGACTGCGAAAGGTGATCAAGATGCCAACACGAAAGCTTACAGTGAGTCAACGACAAAGATCCTCGGAGTTCCTTGAGAAAAGAAAACGGACGTTGTTCGAGTTAACCTTGAAGCTTGTCAACTCACAGTTTCACCATTGACTAAACGTATTGGCAGCGATAAACGGTGTATACGATCTGCTTGGGTGGGCTTCGCCGTTGATGATTACTGGGAAGATCTTGTTCAGTGAACTTTGTTTGCGTAAAGTTTCTTGGGACGAACAAGTACCTGATGCGACGTTGGAACCAATGGGCTAAAACACGTCGTGAATGTACCGAGATCAAAGTACTTCGAAGCGTGGTAAACAACAAGAGTCAACAGATTTCAATACATGGTTTGCCGATGCAAGCCAACTAGCAGTATGTGCAGCAGTCTACGTTCTAGTCGCCTACAACGATGGGAAGACATGTCATAACCTACTAGTTTCAAAGTCTCGTGTAGCCCCGAAGAAGGTTTCTATACCAAGCCTAGAACTTGTTGCTGCCCACACGCTCGCCAAGCTGCTAAGTCATGTGAATCACGCCCTCAGTTCGTTGGATATTCTGAAGGAAAATCAATCGTGGTCGGACAGTTTGACAGTCTTGTACTGGTTGGCAAATATGGGAACATCTTCTATGTACGTGCGGAATCGAGTGAAAGCAATCCATGATCTGGGGAATTTCACCTGGGATTAGGTACCTACAGATCAAAACCCCATCGATTTGGGTACTCGTGGAGTCGCACCACGGAAGTTAGGAGAATTTTGGTTGAAAGGTCCAGCATGGTTGATAGACAGATCGTTGTGGCCAGAGCAACCTGTAATTACGGAAACTAAGGAAGAGTCATGTGAAACCTTACCAGCCAAGAAAGAGAAAGTACTTCTCGAGAACGAAGGGGGAGCGACGAACGAACGAAAAGAATGGGTCGAGAACATCCTTAGGAAACACAAGTACTGGAAGCTTCTTCGCGTTACGGCCTACATGTTGAGATTCGTGAAAAATTGCAGGCGAAAGGAGCAACGAAAGGGACCACTGACAACGGACGAGATCACAGCAGCGGAAAATCGGTGGCTGAAAATCGCGCAGGAAGACGAAGAAGTAAATTGCCCTTTCCCGTTAAAGAAATACGATGTCGGATTGTGGAGATGTCATGGTCGCGTCGCGAGCTACCATCCTGTGTTCATATCTCGAAAACACGCACTTGCAGAGGTGGTAATCGAACATGGCCACAAAGAGACCTTACACGGGGGAGTGCAGGAAACGATGTGCAAGGTACGGGAACGGTTTTGGATCCCTCAACTACGGCGAATGACGAATCAATACGGTTTAAATGCAACAGATGCAAGAAGATAAGAGCCAAACCCCAACCTACTCCTACCACATCTGCATTACCAGAGCATCGGACCCAAAAAAAGAATTCATTTTCCACAACGGGCGTTGACTTTGCTTGGCCAATGTACTATAAGAAACAAAAGAACTCGACCGCGAAGGCTTATGTCGTTCTGGTTACTTGTGCGTGCACACGTGTGGTGCATCTCAGACTATGCAGAAACCTTAGCACGGATGAGTTCAAGATGTCGTTGAGAGAGTTTGTCGCAAGCCGGGGTTCTCCGAAACTAATGGTGAGCGACAACGCGAAGACATTCGCGTCCGCCAAGAAATGGTTAGAGACACTTCAACGAGATGAGGAAGTCAACAATTACGTAGCGATCCAATCCGTAAAATGGAGATTCAATCTATTACGTGCACCCTGGCGGGGCGGGTTCTTTGAACGGTTAATTGGTATCATGAAATCAGCATTATCGAAGGTCGTTGGGAAGGCTATGCTCACTTTCGCGGAACTCAATGATACGTTGTTAGACATCGAATGTGTTATGAACAATAGACCACTTGTATATCTGGGAGAAGGACTCGAAGGGCGTACGGTGACTCCAAACATCCTGCTTGGAGGGGAACCAGTAACAAGTCTGGAGGAAAACGTCGAAGAGTTGGAAGAAGAAGCAGACGTAACGCGGCGACTGAAGTATTTAAAGCGTTGTCGAGAGCAGCTATGAAGACGCTGGATCAACGACTATTTACGTGCACTTGATGAGAAACAGAAAGGAACCGCAAATCGAGGTGCAACATTGTTGGAAACCGGGCGAGTTGTCTTGATAAAGGATTCACTGAAGAGAAGTGCAAAATGGAGAATTGGACGGATCGAAGGAACGGTCATAGGCAAGGATGGAGTCGTGAGGGGCTATAAAGTACGAACTGGGAATGGGTATCTTGTGGAAAGGCCAGCGCAACTGGTGGCTGATCTAGCAATTGGTGGTGATAGTCCAGCGACGACAACGAAAGAAAACGTGACACACGAAAGCTGAACCCAGATGTGAAGGAATTCCAACCAAAAAGATCAGAACGAAAGGCGAAGGAAACCGCTCGATATAGAGTAGTTGGAATTGCGTTGAACGAACTAGATGAGGACTAGAAATGTATTAAAGCTGCATTTCGTGACACTTTAATGGGGGGAGAGTGTTGAAAATTCGTTAGTTAATAATTAACCCTATTTGTACCGGGGGTGCGCACAATGAGCGCACCCCTATAAATATTTATCCGTCATTCCTGAACAAATGATTCGATTTGCTTTGCTTTCATGAGTTTTAATATTTTTCATCTGCCGTCATGACTGCGAAAATTTTTTTCTGAAAATTCAAAGTTATCCGGACGTTTGGCGACATTTGTCAAAGAAGGTGTCGGGGCCAAAAATGGGTAAATGTGGGTTGGACAGTATTTTTTGGCTTCAATCACTTCCCAGGGCATAAATAACATAATATAATTAGAGAACATATAAATATGGATTATTACACATGATTTGCAAAGTAAAATATCCATAATATATTATATAAAATAGTAAAATATAGTATAACATATAATATAGCATACTATACAATACTTATAATTATATAATATAAAATACTTATTTATAATATTTTTATATATTCAAATACACATACATATTTCTTTGTACCTTCAAGGCACAACATCTCCCTGTCTTTCAGCAAGAATCAAACTTGTAGCATGCATTATATATTGAACACTTTCGCACCAGAAATTCAGTTCCAAATGAGATGATTGCCATGAATAATGATTGCCATGATTTTCAAAGTAAATATTGTGTTTTCAAAACTATACTGCAGGCACGAATCTCGTAGCTCACCATCCTTACACTTCATGTAACACATAGTATATTGGTATAAAACATGGCTGCCATTTCGTATTTTTTCTACAAACTTTTGTTGGTCGAATTTTATGTTTACACTGCAGAAGTTATGCCAAAAAAAGTGCTAGAGTTTCAACAGAATGCACAATTGTGCATACTAAGAGAATAATGGAACATTATTTATACAACAATGACACTGTCACAAAGATATGAAGGTAAAATCAGTGATGCTGAAACTTGAAAATGATTTGGATTGTTTATATGAGAGACTGGTAAGTTTCAGTTGTATGTCTTTTCATATGGCACAGAAATGCCAACTTGGAAAGTAAAATAGTGGTGAAATAGTGGTGTTTATGGACAACTGAGATATGCTATAACATAAAAGTATGTCTTTTGAATGTAAAAGACCCAAAAAATATCACACCCAATATGTTTTGTTATCTCTTTACAAAATATAACCAAAATGGGTAAAATATTAGCTGTATTCGCCATTTTCGGATAGGCGGTCATATTCAATGGGGCCAAAAAACAGCATTTTCGATGTGAATTTAACTTTTTTGTTATTTTTAGGTTAAAGAAAGATAAAACTTACTAAAAATAAAACTTATAGGATAATAGCAGTTAATCGACAGAATTTCTGAGGGGTGCGCCCTAACAGCACACCCCCGGTCATATCAACATGAAAACCCCCCGGTACAAATAGGGTTAAAGCGAAAACTTTGTTGTTTTGGGATATCGGGGGACCTTAGGTTTCGCTTTCTAAATATGGTAATGTTTGGGAACAATCTGACCAACCAGGAGTAATTAGAAGTAAGCGGAATAATTTGTGATTCAGTTGTTGTTGAAGGGAGAATAGTTGAGAGAATTCCCTGGAAAATAAAACGTTATAAAACCATAAATTGGAGGTGTAAATTTACGTATTTTTCTGTGTTGATGCGAGGCCGGATTTCCGACATAAGTTGCTGTCAACATACCACAAGTGTATAGACTAATTTATTGTAAATCATTAACACTGTGAGTGACTGTGAGTAGTGACAATTAAAATAAACAAATGGTGCTGATAAAAAGTTGCCATAATAACAAGTGCCCAGTGTTAGGTTCTTATTGCGCTTTCCAATAACATGGTCAGACCGGTTAAATTGTTGAATGGTACACAAAACATTTAGGCTTCTGACCTATCTGCCTGGAAAATTTAGATTTTTGATTTTTGATTTTTGACTAGATATAATTTGAGAAACATAGACCAGATCTTTCCATTGATACAGAGAAAAGCATTTGGGTCTGACTGGTCAGGCCTTTAAATGTAAAGCGCCCTTAGATTTTGGATTTTACTGTAATTATTTTTAAAATCCAATTATATTTGTTTTTTGTGCTTTTGTAGCCATTTGAAGAAATTTCTCATGTTGATGGTAGTTGGCGAAAGAACAATATCAAGAAAATGGTCGTGATGTTGACAAGCTATCATTACAATACTCGGAATTCTAACAAATTGCATGTCAATTATAGTAGAACTAATTATGCAAAACATACTATTGTTAACAAGGGAGTTAAAATATGGAACTCTCTTGATAAAGGAACTAGCAATACTATGTTTTATTCTACTTTTAAGAAAAAATTGAAAAGCCTTTTCTTGGAATATACCTAACGGCTTTCATTTGTAATCTCACATAATAAACTCTTGTGTATATTTATATTCAAATCACTATATTTGTAAATACTCTTACTTTGTCTTTGACAAGATTGAACAAGCTTTAACTATTTTTATATAATAATTAATATTGCTAAACTAGGGGCCTTTGAATAAAAGCCCGATAGGGTTTCATAAAGGTTCGTAGCCCCTAATGTTTGTAAAAATATAGATTGTAAATATATTTAGCTTTATATGGGCAAAATAAAAAAAATATTCAAATTAAAAGCTATTATAACAAAAGGCTTCAACTTTCTTAGATATTGGAACATCATCAACTTGTCTTCATTTGACTTATTACTGATAGCTGTGGTTATTGGACATTTTTTTATATGTGACGCCTTTGGCTGCATGATTTGCTTGATGAAACCCACAATGCCCTTACCATTGCCTTTGTGGTCATGTTTGCGGTGAAGGCTATTTCAGATACGGTAGAGCACCTAGTCCCCACGCCTTTACCAGCGCGGCCGCGAAATTCAATATGGCGCCAAGCTAAGGAGTGAAGTTTGAATGGAGCTAATATTCTATAATTTCTATTGTTGTTTTTTTTTCTTTTTATTCTTTTTGGTTGGTTGAACTTATATTCTGAAATGCCAGGTATCTTACTCTTTATCTGATTAATCTGAAAAAAGATTTTATGACAGAATTTTTCTCAAACATTGTTTAATATAAAAGACTAAAAGTTTAATGATGTATATTAATATCTATATGTTTCAGTGAATTATGCTTTAAAAGTCAAAATTAGATTCACCAAGATAAGAAATTTTTGACACTGAACTTTTGTTAATTATAGTTTCAACTTCAATTTTGAAAATTGTAATAACAGCCTAGTTTATATTCCATAATCCACAGAGCTTGAACATCCATGCGGAATGTACAAATTATTGACTTTTCGAGTGAAGTTCTGTTTGAATTTTTCAGGTACTAAGTTCTATCTGTCGAAATCTGCAGTTATCTTGTTATCGTCTCTATCTAGCCTGGCATACACCGTTCAAGATTGCACTGTTTAATTAGCACCAACACTAACAGTCATGGTGGCAGGGATGGATCCAGCATGATCTGGTAGGGGGGAGGGGGGTTTGATCTGCCAGCTCTAATGCAGAGTTATGTTTGTCATGCATGCCACCCGCCCATCAACTTACAAGTCAAGTCTTGCTTGACTACTGTATTTGAATTGTAATTGTTGTTCACAGTTCGCTTCTTATCATGTTTTCGATATCACTCAAATTACTGTATCTCATTTTGTTTCTAAAATATTTTTTTTGTTTTATCATGAAAAATAGCATTCTCCCTGACCAGGGCTAGGGGGGTACACCCCCCCCCCCACAAGTTAATCCAGCCCAGCATACAGCTGGGTTTAGAGGGGGAGGGGGTTGACAGAGGTACACACCCTTGGCCAATAGGGGAGTGTAAAAATCAAAAGGGGGGCCTTATTGAATTAAAAAAAATCTGGGCAGGATGTTACAAGGCCATCGGAAGTAAATCAATATTGGGGGGACTCAAGAATATATCTGAATAAATTTTAATTGCTTTTGCACTTTTCTAGTTATTTTGTGTGTTTTGCTTATACAAATGGAAATTATAGGGGGGGGGGCTCAAGCCCCCCGCTTCTGACGGCCTTGTGTGGCATGTGACATTGCCAGCTGCCATTAATAGTTTGCAGAATTGTGAAAAATAAATCAATGCTGTAGATTGCAAGTGGTAATGCACTTTCTCCATTGGCATTATAGACATAATACACATAAAATTCCACAAGACCAATTAACTTGGTAACTCTGAGTATTCCATACTCATTGGGAAATCAGTCAGATGCAATTGTACCCACCCTCTGGTCAACCCTTGCCACTAGACGTTTCTGTACCTTTGCCCTGCATATCATGGTTTATGAACTCAACATTTTATGATTGAATTAGCTCTTCTACTATGATATTTTATGCTCAAGTAAATAGAAAGTCGTACAGCAAGCGGGCTGGAATAATGGTCAGATGTTACTCCTCAGTGGCATAAGGGCTGTGCCCGGCAAGAGCCAGGGGCCCAGGGAGTGTGCCTTGTCAAGGAAGGTCCCTGGGCTAACCTTTATGCAGTGTTTGGAAATTTTAATTTAAATAATTAATTTAATTAATAAATTAAATTAATAATTAGTTAATTAAATTAATAATAATTATTATAAACAAATTAATAATAATTATTAATTAATATTATTTAATTATTTATTTAATTAATTAATATTTTTAAAAAATTTTTTTAGCTTAAAAGCTCTCCCTGTCAACACTCTGAACAGTAGGTCAAGTAGGGCCGGAGATTCGGGGGGGGAGGGGGTGACACACCCAGAAATTTTATTCATTTGGCAGGACTGCTATTTGG